ATTAATCATCTACACTAGTTATTTAACTATGGGGATAGGTTTGGACGAAGATAATCTTGCATTAATCTCATGTACAAGCCTCTGAAATAAACAGCAAGCAATCCATGAGCACAAACCACCCGTTCTCCCTCGTCACACGTCGATGATCTCGCCCTTTTGTCGATTTTTGCTTCACAAAGCTCTCAAAACTCATAAGAATAAGATATAGGGTTTTTGAGGGGATAGGGTGGCTGATAGAGTTCATAGATATGATAAAATAAGGGAATTTTCGTGAAAAACACAGGTATTTATAGAGGCAAACCCGAAACAAACCTGTTTAACCCGAACCAAAAAACCTAGTCTGACTAGGAAAAGAACCTTCGGTATTTTGGCAATAACATTTGCGTACGACCTCAGAATGAGGTGATATAAGATTTGTTGGAAAGATGTTGAAAATATCTACAACTTTAGTATTTTGAGTTTTCTAAGATTCTAAGTGCATCATTGTATAAAATCTATAAACTTTTAACTGGTTATTTTTCCCAGATTTTTTCTCGTGCATGTTTTGTGCATTTGCACTCATATATTCATATATATATGTATCGGATTGATCTCAAATAAATTACTATCATACTCAAATATCAATAAATGTTATTTCATAATATAACATGTTTATTATTATATCTCACAACATTCAGTATTACGGGGTTTTACATTCTTTCCCCCCTTAAAAGAATTTCGTCCCCGAAATTCCGCATTCGTATCTTAGAGATTAATAATGCCAGAAAACCACGTTGAGGGAATAATCTAGATAAGAAAACTCTCACATACACATCTCGCATCATTAGTCTCCAGATATGAACATAGCAATATCTACATTTAACAATCTAAGATGCTAATATTTCCACTTAACCCCTAACTAAACGGAACTAGTACGTCGGGCGAAAAATCCAAACAAGGAACACCCCATATATATACCATGTGTTTCGAATGATTAGAAGTTAAGTGTCAATACCTCCATTCTATCATTAAATGTAAATATAACCATACAAATAATCACATACATAAATCAATCCACCTTCTCAATAGGTGCAGGTAGTCGCGATGCATAACATCTTCGCGCTCCCGAGAATCATCCTCAATGTCTATACTTAACAGTCTAAAATGCAAATACCCCCACTTAACCCCTAACTAAATAGAACAAGTACATCGAGCGAAAAATCCAAACAAGGAACCCCTCATATATATACCATATGTTCCGAGTACTTAGGAGTTAAGTGTTAATACCATCATTTTAGCGTTAACTATAAACATTACCATACAGGTAGCCACAAATCATAAATAAGTCATACTAAATTTAATTTACCTGCTCAAACAGGTTTGGGTAGTCACGACGTATATCCTCTTCGCGTTCCCAAGAAGCCTCCTCAGCTCCTCTCCGATTCCACTGAACTTTAACTAAAAGTATCACCTTGTTTCTCAACTTCTTATCCTCCTTGGCAAGAATACATACAGGAATCTCAATAGTAGTCAGATCCTCCTGAATCTCGATCTCTGGTGCATCTAATACTCGCTGCTCCTCCTTGTCGCGTAGGTGCTTCTTAAGCATCGAAACATGAAAAACATCGTGTATGCTCGACATGGATGATGGTAGGTCTAGTCGATATGAAACAGCTCCAATGCACTCAATAATCAGGAATGGTCCAATATACATCGGGGCAAGTTTTCCTCATCTGCCAAAACACTGAACTCCATTCATTGGTGATATTTTCAATAACACATAGTCCCCAATTTGGAACTCTAACGGTCGTCGCCTATGATCTGCATAACTCTTCTGACGACTCTGGGCTGCAAGAATACGCTCTCGAATGATTGCTACCTTCTCCGTAGTTTGCCTCCCAAGCTCTGGTCCAAGCAATAGACTATCCTCTGGTTCTGCCCAACAAATAGGTGATCTACAAGACCTCCCGTACAATGCTTCGTACGGTGCCATCCCAATAGTCGCTTGGTAGCTATTATTATAAGCGAATTCGATTAATGGGATGTGGTCCTCCCAGCTACCCTGTACATCAATGACACATGCCCGCAACATGTCCTCCAATATTTGGTTCACTCTCTCCATTTGCCCATCTGTCTGCGGGTGAAACACACTAGAATAAGATAATCTGCTGCCGAAAGAGTTCTGAAAGCTTCTCCAAAAATATGAAGTGAAAACCAAGCCTCGATCTGACACAATCGTCTCTAGAATTCCATGTAATCTCACGATCTCCTAAATAAATATCCATGCATACGTCTCTGCCATGTATGTCGTCTTTACTGATATGAAATGTGCTGACTTTGTCAGTCGATCTACTACCACCCAAACTGAATCATTCCCTTTCTTCGATCTCGACAATCCTACAATAAAGTCCATAGAAATATCTGTCCACTTCCACTCCGGAATGGGTAAAAGCTGTAGGGTTCCTGCCGATCTCTGATGTTCTGCCTTTACTTGCTGGCAGGTAAAACACTTAGCTACATATTTTACAATCTCTCTACGCATGCCGCTCCACCAAAAATATCTCTTCAGATCCTTGTACATCTTCATTGTGCCTGGATGCACTGTATACCTGGTACGATGCGCTTCGTCGAATAAATCCTTCTTCAGCTAAGCATTAGCTAGTATTACTAATCGACCCTTCATCCGAAGTCCTCCATCTGCTCCAACAGTCCAATCAGCCTCTGGCTCTTTGGAAATCTCTCCCTTTCAGGCTTGAATCCAAGAGTCGTCCAACTGAGCTCTGACCACTGTCACTCCAAGATGGCTATACGGATAAAGCTCCCAAAAATGCGCTGCTCCCGCCAATCTCCGGTCTAAAGTTGAACTGGCTACGTGTGTGGAGATCTCGATATAACGAGCATCTCAAAGCTGCAATCCTGTGACGACGCTTCCTACTCAATGCGTCTGCTACGACATTCGCCTTCCCCGGGTAATACTGAATCGTGAACTCATAATCCTTAATGAACTCAACCTATTATCGCTGTCTCTGATTTAGTTCCTTCTGAGAGAAGAGGTACTTCAAGCTCTGATGATCTGTGAATAGCTCAAACTATACCCCGTACAGGTAGTGTCTCCATGTCTTCAATGCAAAGACTACTGCTGCTAGCTCCAAGTCATGTGTGGGATAGTTTTGTTCATGCGTTCTCAACTGACACGAAATGTATGCTACTACCCTCTGGGTCTGCATCAAAACACCTCCTAGACCCACTAACGATGCATCTGTGTAGACTACGAAGGTCTTATCACTTCTAGGAATGGTCAAAATTGACGTTGTAGTCAACTTAGTCTTCAAAGTCTCAAAGGCCTCCTGACACTCCGTGCTCCAAACAAAAGGTATACCCTTTTTCGTAAGGCGTGTAAGTGGTGTAGCTATTTTTGAGAAGTCCTGAATAAACTTCCTGTAATAGCCAGCCAAACCCAAAAAGCTACGGATCTCGGTAACTGTCGTCGGTGGCTCCCAATCAAGTACTGCCGTAACCTTAGCTGGATCCACTGCAATGCCCTCTCTGCTGATGATGTGGCCTAAAAATCTGACCTCGAATAGCCAAAACTCGCACTTGCTGAATTTGGCATATAGCTGGTGCCCCCGCAAAGTCTGCAATGCTAATTGAAGGTGCTGCTCATGCTCTGCCTCCGACCTCGAGTAGATTAGAATGTCGTCGATGAATACTATCACGAACTGGTCCAAGTATGGACGGAAAACCCGATTCATCAAATCCATGAATACCGCAGGTGTATTGGTTAGCCCAAATGGCATGACAAGAAACTTGAAGGACCCATAACGAGTCAGAAAGGCGGTCTTGGGAATATCCATCTCCCGAACCCGCAACTGATGATAGACCCATAACGAGTCAGAAAGGCGGTCTTGGGAATATCCATCTCCCGAACCCGCAACTGATGATAGCCATAACGAAGATCAATCTTCGAGAAGTACTGCGCTCCCTACAGCTAGTCCAACAAGTCATCAATCCTCGGTAATGGATACCTGTTCCGGATAGTGACCTTGTTCAACTCCCGATAATCTATACAAAGACGCATACTGCCGTCCTTCTTCTTCACGAAAAGGACCGGCGCCCCCCATGGAGAATGACTCTGGTGAATAAAACCCTGAGACAAGAACTTGTACAGCTGAGTCTGTAGCTCTCTCATCTCAGCAGTTGCCATACGATAGGGAGCTCAAGATATCGGTGCTGTGCTTCGCTGCAACTCGATGCAGAACTCAACCTCTCTCACAGGAGATAGCCCCGGTATGTCCTGAAAGACATCCTAAAAATCTAAGACAACTCTAGTCTCGCACAAATCAGCACTCTGATCTCTCAGCATCACCTCCTCGATATAGGCTAGAAATGACTTCGCAAACTGGTTGCCCTATGAGGTCGCTACGATCAACTCAGACCCATCGAACGCTCGCAAACTGACTGTTTTCGCAAAACAGTCAATGCTAACATGGTAGGATGATAACCAATCCATACCAAGAATGACGTCGAAATCCGACATCCGCAAGACGATCAAATCTATGATAAACTCGGACTCATCTAAGCTGATGACACATCTCCTACAAACGTTCTCTAATAGGGATACCTCCCCTAAGGGAGTAGAGACAGACAACGGAACATCTAAAGGATGTGCGACTAACTGGAGCCTATCCATGAAGGCATGAGATATAAAAGAATGGGAAGCTCCGGAATCGAACAGGATCCGAACTGGAAAAGAGTTTATTAAGAAAGTACCTTCTACTATAGCTCCGCTCGCACCGTAATCACGCGGTACGACTGCATAGACTCTGCCAGTGGCTGCTCGACTGCTAAACTAACGATGGTGGAATATACGGGACTATCTGTCCCTCGAGAATCTCCTAAATCGCGCGAATCTGGCCTACTGGCCCCTCAATCCCAGGAACAGCTGGCGGTGCCTCAATTCTCTGCTGCGGTTGTTGGCCGTAACCACGGCCCTGCTGATGCTTACCCTGACCTCGGTTCTGCTACTGACCGTGTCCTCGATTCTGCTGCTGGTCCTGACCTCTGCCTTGCTGGCCTCCTACTGGCGCACTGCGACAGTCCTTGGCCTTATGCCCGATCTTGTTACAGTTATAGCATGCACCCTGAATCTTGCGCTGCAGTGGTGCTCTCGAGTCATGTTGTACTCCCTTCTTGAACTTGCCCTGCTGATGGTGATGAAAGTCCTTACCCCGCTGCTGGGGTCCTCCTAGTCCCGCAAAAGGTCTCTTGCCCTTTCCCTTGTCATTCTGCTGTCCAGACTTGTTGTTGCCCTCCTTGTTCTTCTGGAACATCACAGTCTCTATCTCCTGCGATATAGCTGTATCTGCTACCTCTTGGACTGAACGGAATCTTCTGGAAACTAGGTAACGGTGAAGACTTGGGCGAAGTATCATAAGAAACATCTGTGCCTGGCGCTCTCCTGACTGCCACATGCCCGTGAAACATAGAAGACTCATAAATTGGCTCTCATAGTCAGTCACAGACATATCTCCCTGTTCTAGCTTAGACAACTCTAGCTCTTTCCCGGCCTGTGCCGCGGAAGAGATGTACTGCTCGTCGAAGAAATACACGAAATCCTCCCAAGTGAGGGCCATCCGATGATCCGGAGTGAACTGAAGCCTATACCATCCTCCTGCATCACCCTTCAGGCTAAAAGCTGCCAACCTCTGATTTTGCACTGAGTCGACGTTAAGTAAATCTAAAAGTATTTCCCACATATTTTCTCCATTTATAGGTTGTAACTGAATCCGATGTGCCCTAAAATTTTTGTGCTCCCAACTTCTAATATCTTCCTCAATCTTACCGAGCCAAACTTCCTATTCTGTGACTCTATTAATAGCTGGATGTGGCGATGGTGAGACCTTCGGTATTACCTCTTCAATAGGTACGACTGGTACAACTGGTGGTGGAACTTCAGAGAGTAAAATTTGGCTTGTTACTCACTCCTCGAGTGTTGTTAGTCTCTGCTTCTGTAATCGGTATTACCAAGTCGATCAGATACTTTGGAGCCTACTGTAGCTCGGGCTCTACTTGTCCAACTCTCTAGGTACAAGCTTTACCTCGACCACATCCTCGTTCCAATGTTTATAATACTAATAGGAGAGCTTATTTGACATAGTAAGTGAGATCCCAATTATAAATAACATAACATATACCAATAGGAAAAATCGTATCAATTATCATTCATGCATTTACTTTTCAATCAAAGTAAGGTAGTTGTCACAAAAAAAATTTTGTAAATTTTCGAATATACGTATATAACGTCCTCACTCATTCTAGGAATTCCTAGCGGACTCTATACATGATTTCTAAGAAACTCTATACTAGTTCCACGATTCGACACAGGATGATCCTAAGGATACTGGAACTAGAGCTCTGATACCAACTGTGACATCCCTGGGTTCACACAAAGCTATAGTCCAAGGTGAAACCAGAGATGTCAAACCTGCCATGCACCCACACTATACATAAACCTGGGTTCACACTGTTCATAAACTATTTTTACAAATGGTTTTCTGTTTTGAAAACTAGATTCACACATCTTTCAAATGACATAAGTTTGGTTCAGTTTGGAGTTCATTTTTTATCCCAAATCTCCAGTTAAACATTATATATGTGCAGTTAAACATTATATATGTGCAGTCGTTTTTCTGCAGGGCACGTTGTTAGTAAATATAACATATCTTTCTCTATACAAACTCTTTTTATGAATGGTTTTCTGTTTTAGAAACTAGATACATATATATTTCATTTAAAACTAGTTTGGTTAAATTTGGAGTTTGTTTTATATCTTAAACTCTCAATTAAATATTATACAAGTGCTGCAGTTTTCTGCAGAAAAACATATATATACATCACTTAAATTTCTCATATATGAATAAAATTATGAAAAATCTTAATGATCATGATCATAATACTATCATAAACAACAAGAAAAGATTATTAATCTAGCATTTATTTTAAGGTTTACTATCAAAAATCTGACTTTTAACACCTCAGGTTAAGATTAAAGCATGAAAACACATATTCAACATCATATTAATCATCTACACTAGTTATTTAACTATGGGGATAGGTTTGGATGAAGATAATCTTGCATTAATCTCATGTGCAAGCCTCTAAAATAAACAACAAATAATCCATGAGCACAAACCACTCGTTCTCCCTCGTCACACGTCGATGATCTCGCCCTTTTGTCGATATTTGCTTCACAAAGTTCTCAAAACTCATAGGATTAAGATCTATGGTTTTTGAGGGGAGAGGGTGGTTGCTAGGGTTCATAGATATGATAAAAAATGGAATTTCATAAAAAACACAGGTATTTATAGAGGCAAACCCGAAACAAACATGTTTGACCCGAACCAGGAAACCTAGTCTGACTAGAAAAATAACCTTCGGTATTTTGGTAATAATTTTTGCGTCCGACCTCAGAATGAGGTGATATAAGATTTTTTTGAAATATGTTGAAAATACCTACAACTTTGGTATTTTGAGTTTTCTCAGATTCTAAGTGTATCATTGTGTAAAATCTATAAACTCTTAACTGGTCATTTTTTCCAGATTTTTTCTCGTGCATGTTTTGTGCATTTGCACTCATATATTCATATATATATATGTATCGGATTGATCTCAAATCAATTCCTATTATACTCAAATATTAATAAAAGTTATTTATCATAATATAACATGTTTATTATTATATCTCATAACATTCAGTATTACAGGGTTTTACAAATATTAATCATGAAAAGTTTTTCCCAAACTTATACTTTTAAGTGTACTAGTTGATATGCACGTGCAATACACATGGTTAAATATCATGATTATCTAAATTAATAAAAATAGAATAAAAAATAAAACAAAAATAAAGTTTTTTGTGGGATCTCTCTCAACTGAAATATCATTATTGTTTCCTTCAACTAAGATTGTGGCCACGTAATCTACTATTTGTGAGTTATAAACATATTAATCTAGTACAACATCTTTGTTTATTAGCATCTTGAAGTCTTCAAAAGATAGATGATCATTCCATTCGTAAACGATTTTTTATATGAATTTACTTGTAATATATCCATTAAACTTTTAGTTGTAGTTTGACTCATATTCACACCAACTTTTAGTTACAGTTTCACTCATATTTACATTATCTAATTTACTGCCTGCTAGGCTAGGTTACAGAGTGATTCCATTTCCTGAAGGTTCCATCATCAAATTTACTGCCTGCTAGGCTACAGAGTGATCCCCAATAAATTTAGAAAGCCTGTATGTGTTCTCCTATGAGTAAGAAAGAAGAAAAGTTTAAAGATGACTTAAACAAAGGGATTCCATTTCCTGAAGGTTCCATCATCAAATTTTATAATCAGTAGCCCACATTTTTGCATAACTTTAAGGTATCAACATATATTGCTACAAGGCTGATAGAAGAGGAGAATAAAGTTCTCAATCAAAATTCATTCAATTTTATAACTCATTCTCTATATTATAGAAGTAAAATTAAAAGTATGAAGAATTATTTTCTTAAGAAATTAGAGCAGGAAGATTATGATATATTTCGCTATGTGCTCCAAATATATTTTTTTTCTTTTTTCTTTGATGCAAGGTCCCTATCAAATCTTACCCTAAACAATGTGAATGAAAAATGCTATTATAACTCACTTACCTAGGGCAATTATATTGTATATAGAACGTATAACTCATCTGGAATATCCACATCTGCTAAGTGAATTTTGCTGTTGTGAGAGCAACATGTTAAAGGCTCATTCAAACTTTTTGACTCTATAAAAGACACAATCATTTGAAGTGCATAGCTATAAAACCGAAAATTTTGAAAATATTATTGTAAATAATAATAATAGAGTTTTATTATGGTTGGTGATCGTTCTAGGATGAATAGATGTGATTGTAATCGATTTGAGATTGATTATCTATTAATATATATACTATAGTATTATATATATTATCTATGTGTGTGTGTGTGCTGTGTGTGTGTGTGTGTGTGTGTGTGTGGTGCTGTGTTGTGTGTGTGTGTGTGTGTGTGCATATGTGCACAAATATATAAACTCTATCGAGTTTGCTTAGTGTGTCGGGTGCGGCTCGACTGACGCTAAAGATCAGCTTGATCGATTGACAACCTGGAAATTTTTTGCCTTGGATTTTCCACATTGTGGCGGTCTATTTTTGTGTGAGTGTGTATATATATAAGTATATATATATATATAGTCAGAGAGTCAGTATATATATATAGTAATTATATATAATTATATAATATATAATAGTATATATAATATAGTATATAGTATATATATATATTATTATGGATGGTGCTGGTAGTGAGGGATGGGCAGCAATCTCCTCCCACTGCATATCAAATGGGGGACCACATTCACATGGGTTTTTGAGAATGCCATGAGGATATGCAAATATTTGAATGGTGGACGGGGAATTAACCACCTCACTACCAAGCACAGACTTTTTGTGCTTGGTACGCAAGCAAACCCATTTTTTCCCCATATATATATATATATATATATATATATATATATACTATAATATATATATAATATATATATAATATATATATATATATAATATATAATATATTATATATATATATAATATGTGTGTGTGTGTGTGTGTGTGTGTGTGTGTGTGTGTGTGTGTGTGTGTGTGTGTGTGTGTGTGTGTGTGTGTGTGTGTGTGTGTGTGTGTGTGTGTGTGTGTGTGTGTGTGTACCAAACTTTCTCCTCTTTTCTTCTTCATCCCTCACGTTTGAACAGCAACCACCTTCCTCTCAAAAACCCTATTTCTATCAGTTTGAAATTTTTGGAGAATTTCGTGAAGCATAGATCGTGAGGAGGGTGAGGTCTATGATTTAGGTGAAAGAGGATTGAGTTCCTCGCACATTTGACAGATCAAAACAAATTCAAAAGGCAAGTTCTTTTCTTCCCAAACCCATCCCCTTATATTTTTATTTTTAATGGTTTAAACCCTAATTTGATGAATAGATCTATAAATCCGAACACTAAATGAAGAAAATATATGATTTTTTTTATGATTAGAACCATTAGTAATTGCTAATTGATGAACTGATTAGGATTAGAACCCTAATTAATCAACTTAAATCTGATTAGTGATGTTTAGGGAAATTAAATATCAAAATTTCATGTTTTGTTGACGTATATCACTTGCTCAAGCCCCCACTTTGTTAAATACAAGATTTAAACATGTTTTCATCATGTTTCATGAGTTCTTTTTGAGAAAGTCGATTAACTTCATGAAAACCATGTTCTTGTTCCAGTACTCGGGTTGGTTGACTGACCATATGGATCAGTCGACCAATTTGACCCTGAGGATTGTATGATTATCTCTCTGACCGGTCGACCGACATATGTATCGGTCGACCAATCGAGACTTTGCTACTTGTGCATGTTTGTGCACATTCGCGCTCGGTCGACTGAAGGGTAATCAGTCGACTAATCAAGTGTCAGTCGACTGATCCCCAAGCGAAGTCGATTGATCTGTTGATTTTGCTTAAGATGATCTTTCACGCATGTTTCTTTCACGCATGTTTGGTCGTGAACACGAAGAACGAGCCGCCCGTCGAATCACGTGTGTGACCATGAGAGTGCACGTTTAGGGTTTGAGCACGCACGAGCCTTTGAAAGTGCGTAGTCTAATGTTTTGCGTTTAACACGATAGGGAGTGACAATTGATTTAG